GGGAGGCCTGCGACACCGAAGGCGGTTCCCTCCCGGCTCACGCGGATCCCGGCCTCGTCAACACTGGGTGTGGCCTTGGCTTCTGCCAGCTGAGGGCGAGTGCTCGGAGGTACCCGCGGCCTGCGCGCGCGGGTGGAGGGGTGGGTGTGCTGTGCAGTGGACTCTGCGGATGCGTGGGGCCCAGCGCCGAGGCCCCGTTACAGTTATTCTACCGCCAACAGCCTCCTGCGTGCGTTTTAATGGAAGTCTGTGCCACGTGAGGCCAAGGAATGAAGAGAGAGTTCCCCTTCCTTACACTTTTCATCATGTAAAACTCTCCATTCAGTGGGTAGGAAACTAACTGTGGTCAAAGCCGCCTTGACTGTGCGACGCAGGCATCACGAGCTTCCCTCCCACTTGCCTCCTGGGACGGGACATCTGCGGAGGATTTGCAGAGTCTGAGCCGGGCCGGGCTGTGGAGGCGGTCACGGGCTCTGCCTCGCATAGAGCGGGGACAGTGCAGGCGTGGACCTGCCGGGCCCGGTCTGGGTGATGTCTGCATGTGCTTTGGGATCACTCAAAGGAAACCAGTTTGCCTTTAGGGATTGGTCAGTCCTTCTCCATCACTTGATTTCTGTCCCCAACTCTCTCCCAACGCCTGATGAGTAGATGGGTCTCGTTGGTTCTTCAAACACCCTGTAGACGCCATAGTTTTTTGGCTGGTAATTTTGGTGGTATGTCTATAGAAGCTATATTTCACAGTCTTATGTTTAAAAATATAAAACCCTATTTTAAACTGTTTAGGCTTTTTCTGTTTCCCCACTCACTCAAAATTCCCAAAACCTGATTTTAAGAATCTCCCTTCTCTGATCACACACTGGAATGGAAAGAACACAGGCTTTAGAGTCCCACGAGGGCAATTCAAATCTGACTCCTCCCCGCCACATGCTCTTGGTGTAACTTCTAGGAAAGTATGAGTCTACTGAAGCCTCAGAGCCCTAGAGTACAGTGGGATAATGAACCCACCTTTAGGGGTGATCTACTATGACAGTGCCTGTGAAGTGGCTGACACACAGTAGGGCAGAGTAGAAGGAAGAATACTGCATACCCACCCTGGGAGGAGGGCAGTGCCACCGAGACTCCCCGGCATGACTGAGACTCCCGCAGGTGCTCGGTCTGTCTGTGGTTCTTTGTCAGAGTGTCCAGGAGTCTCAGGTCTATCCCATCTCCCATCTCCCTGCCTGTGTGCTGCCCAGTAACTGTTTTGTTGCGAATACAGAACTGTTTTAACTTAGGGAATGTAGGTTTAATTAAAACTGGTCTCACAAACTGATTTAATTGGTTGCTTCACAGTTGGGATATAAAGTGGCTGAAGAAAAGGGTGTGCCCTCTTCCAAGTCTTCAATTTTAAACATGTAAATATATATAGAATCATTTATTCAAAACAAGGCTTTTGGCTTGTTCTTCTCTTTGTTTATTTTTAAAGCAGGCCTCATTATCTGGTCTGGAACGTCTGCTGCTTTTCTTATTGCAACAGCCATTCTTGCAGAGCCTGGTGACAGACTCATCACCATCACTTACCTAGCAGGCTTCTTGCCATGGTTCTCTTTTGTTAGTGCTGCTACCAACCCATTCATCCTGGGTGAACACTGATGGCATCTTCAACTTCCTTTCTTTTCTTTCTCTTCTTTCTTTTCTTCTCTTGGAGTCAGTCACCACCACAGCAGCCTGGACATCCTAGCCAGCTGATGTTTTCCTTTCCATTTCCACGGTGGCCTTTATAGTTTCAGGCTTTCATTGCTTCACATCTTAACTAGTATTATAGCTAATGCCTGACTCAAACTCTACCTCTTTCTGCTGATCCTACATCCTGCTGCCAATGAATCCTAAAAGTTGGTTCTGCTTATGTCATTTCTCTGCTTAAAAACCTGCATTCACAACTCAGAGACTAGCAAATGAAGTGTCAACACCCGCATCCGGCTTTAAGACTCTGAGACATAGCCCTGCTGCCCTGGTCACCTCCACCCTTTCCACCACTGCTACACGGCCTGATTCACAGGAAACTGAGTCCTCGCTCTAACTTATTGAATACATTTGGTGCTTATCTATTAAACCTCTACTAAGTGCCAGGCACTGGTCCAGTCCTGGGGATTCACAGATGAAAAGGCAAGGTCCCTCTCATCTTGGAGGCCACATGAGCCTTAGATGCCCTTTCTCCAAAGGCCGAAATTCTCTCCATTCATAAAGTGTAGTTGGAATCCACCTCTCTGAAGACTGGTGACTCCCGAGCCCAGTGTTTCCTGTCTTTTCTCTGGGTTCCCTCAGTCCTCTATTTATTCATTTAGTTATGTGTGTGTATTTGTATATCTGTGGCAGTAATCACATCTGCCTTATATTTTAAGTTTTAATTTTTTTTAATTCCTTATTTTAATTTTATTAATGAATAATTGCCTTATATTTTGTGTTTATTTTTCTTTTTAAATTTCTTTCCTTATTTTTAACTTTATTAATGAATAATTAATTATATCTACACTAATAAAGACAAACATGCAAATTGACCGTACCTTTGCTACGCCTTAAGCCACGCCCACCAACCAATCAGAGCGACTATATGCAAATTAACCCAACCAACATGGCGGCTGGCAGCCATGGATCTGGAGTGAGCAGGAGGCTTGGTTGCCCCAGTGATGGAGGAAGCCAAGCTTCCCACCTGCCACGGCCAGCTCTGAGCTCCACTCAAGGAAACAAAGTTTTAATTATAGAAGGTAAATAAATCTCAGAATAAAAAAAAAGAAGAAAAAGAGGCTGGGAGTTTCCTTCGCTGGGGGGCTTGGCCAGCCTGAAAACGGCCCTTAGCCCTTCACCCAGGCTGGCAAGGCACCCCATGGGGGAACCCCCACCCTAAATGACCCTGTCCCCCAAGTTTCCAGTGGGATGGATTTTGGGTGACACAGTGGTAACTGGTGTGATAACACTTCCTTTGTTGACTACATCCCTTCCCTGTCTCAGGTCCCCACACCTCTAACCTGGTAAGTGGACATCCCCCGAGGACTGCCAGGCTGCCAGAGGGATGTCTGACTGCCAGCTTGGGCCCGATCCCCCAGGGAGCAGGCCTAAGCCAGCAGGTGGACATCCTCCGAGGGGTCCCAGACTGCAAGAGGGCATAGGCCAGGCTGAGGGACCCCCCTGCCCCTGAGTGCACAAACTTGTGCACCGGGCCTCTAGTACAAATATAATTGTATACAATCGTGTGCCACTTAATGACAGGGATACAGTATAAAAAAATGCATCCTTAGACGATTCTGTTGTCGTACGAACATCAGAAAGACACTTACACAGACCTGGTCGGGCAGCATGTTGCTCACCTGGGCTGCATGGCAGAGCCCATTGCCCCTGGGCTACAAGCTGTGCAGCATGCTACTGTATAAAGCAGCAGAGGGTTAAACCTCAGGATGGCTGCATGTCACTAAGCCATAGGAATTTTTCAGGTCCGTTATAATCTACAGGACCACCATCCTGTATGGTCCATGGACTGCATCTGTATATGACTGGTATTTAAAGTATACTGCATGATGATTTGATACACATATATTGTGGAAACGTTACCAAATCGAGATAATTAACACATCCAAAGGCATACACTGACCACCAGGTATTTGAAAAGGTGTTCAACATCACTTGCCACCAGGAAAATGCAAATCAAAACCACAATGAGTATTTATTTTTCTTTAAAAAGCTTTCCGGGCAGCTTGAGAGCACAGACTGTGTTCTTTTTCATCTTTATATTCCCCATAATGCTGAGCACTTGTTATTCTTAATGAAGGTTCCATATTTATTTGTTTTATGTAGGAATAAGCAAATGGACCTGGACCCTGATTTC